TTTCCCAATTGTAAGAATCACACTTGATTGACTGTCTGCAGGGACCCACTGTAAGTCCTGTTTTCTGCAAGCATGATGGGAAGGTAACAGCAGACTATTATGCAATAGTCATATGTGTGCCCAAGAAGGCGCTATACAAGTCTATACAACAACTGAGAGCGGTGAGTTTTTTGAACTAATGTTAAAGAAGTTGTTTTTGGATTTATTATCATTTATGAAGATATTTGTTAGCTTCTTGGGGGGAAACAGAGAAGAAAAATTAGGAGATGAAGGTAGAATGGATGGTTCCTATTGTTGCTGGCTAGCTGTAAACTGTTAGTTTCACCAAAAAATTCTTGAAAACCTTTCAAAGCTTCTGCTTATCATGTGGCATCATATTTTAGCTAAATACAATGCTTGCTGTTTTGACTTGCGTATCAAAAAACTCTATTTCTTACGCTTATATGATTCTCGTACTTGGTTTCCTGTTTACTACACTCATGATGCAGATTGGAGGCAGTGGAGTTCTTATATCACCCTTGACCTATATTTTTGATGAAGAAACTCCAAGATGGCGTCAGCTTCTATCTGAACTTGGGCTGTAACCATTTATGATCAGTTCATGGAGTCATTCGGGGATGTTTCATTTTTCAGATACTGCCAAAGCAGAAGAGCATTAAATCTATGGTGAAACTGCGAAAGACAAGTACACCAAAATGGAGGACTTAGATAACTGAAATTGCATTCTCATTACTCATAGAGGAACTCCTATTTACATCGCTTTATAGAATGAAATTTTTGTAGCGAGCATGTATCTTCTACGTTCTCTTCTTAACACTGGTAATGGCTAGAGAAGTGACTTTGTCTTCTGGGTCCTTGGGGGGGAGGGGTTATATTTTAAGTTCAACTGCTGTGGGATTTTGCTTCGGTGTTGTAATTTGGAACTTTTTAGTAGGATTATTTGTGACCTTAATGAGTTGGCCATCTTTCTTATGATGTTTGATACGTATGATATTAGAAGCTTGTGGAAACGCACAGCGAAGCAATGTCTAATGAATAAAATTCTGTTTTGTGTGTATTTTATTTTTGGATGGTTTGCTATTTATAATTAGATATTGTCTAAGCAAGCTAAGCTTTAACTTTTAAATATAAAATCTGATATTTAAACCAGATATTGGAGTGCTCGAAACACATTTTCTAATGCATTTTATAAATATACTCTTTATTGATAGTTAAAAGTTATTAGAAATTATAAGTTTAAATATATTCCTTCTAATAAAATAGTTTCACTCAATTTTGATTCTTCTTTTACTTCTATTTTTTTTTATTTCTTTTCTTGGAAGAAAATATGTCGTCTCTGGTGATAGTTATAAAAATTCTTTTTTGTTTGATACTCTTTTTAATAAATAATTGAGACACTAAGATTTTTTATAAATCAGTTTTTCAGTTGTAATATTTAAGTTTTATTTTATTTCTTGTTTTTTTTTTCTACTTAAAATAAGCATTTGAGCCGTATTTCTTATATTTGTGTTGTGCTCATAGTTTTTTTGGTAGAAACAAATAAGTTAAATATATACAAGATAATAAATGACCATTTTTTTTACAGCAGATAATAAGTTTTATTATATAAATATTAATATTATATAAAATGTGCCAAATAATAAGACGTAGATAATAATGCTGACATGTATCTTATTATATCAAATTGTTAGCTTCTGTACAAATGAAAAATAATAATAAAAAAAGTTTTGTTGACTAAAAATAAAGGTTGAAATTTGATTATTAATAAGATTAGATTTGTTTTAAATTTAATTATGAATATTAGTTGATTTATAATATTTATTTTATATAATATAAAATAAGCTTAATAATAAGATGTGAATAATAACTTTCATATGCATAAAGTAAAAAATATAAAAATTGCATAAATAATGCAACCATGTGTTTTATTATGTGTTTAGTATTTGTTGAACAGAACAAAATACTATGTTTAATTACATATATATTCATATTTTGTTTAATGCTTGGTTGAGTATAAAAGATTAAATAGAACAAAATTAAATATTATTTCACATTTGCTATTTTATGACTGTTATTATATAATATTCTAATAAAATATTGATATTTATATTTTATAATTATTTTCTAAATATGTAAATATGAAATATTTGATAAAATGTAATTTATAAAATATAATTAACTTAAATATACTGTTATTATTATATAAAAAAATTTAAATAAAAAATAATATTAAAAATTTCACTCATATAGTTTCAAATAAATGCATTCATCATAACAATAATGACATTGTTCTCATATCCAAAAATAAAATAAAACATTAAGTTTCAATATCATATGAAATAAAACAAAACACCATAAAATAAAACAAAATTTTGTAGTAACTTATGTTTCAACCCATAAGTACCATATGAACAAATATTGTTGATAGACTAAAATACTAATTATGTATATATATATATATTTTTTTACATTTTCAATACTCTTAAATATTTATATTTTCTATTGTATGAAAAAATAAAGTAATTTTGCTCCTTTTATATTAATTTTATTTTTTTTAAATTATAATAATAATGGAATAAACTATTTTTTATGTGTAAATTAAAAAAAAAACTTGCACACAAGAAAAAATAATGTTGTGAGATAGTTAAATAAAACCTAATCTAACTAATCTCTTAATCTAATGGTTATAAAAACTATTTTGAAACATGAGAATGGACATGATACTTTTAAGTTTAAATTTTGTTTGAGTTAAAATAATATTTAGTCAATAAAAATCATGATTTAATAAGATTAGTCATTGATTGTTAGTTTAGAATTATTTTGAATTTCAATAATAATAGTTCAAAGACTTAATTAGTGATTTTTTTTCTATTAATTTTTTAAAATAAATTAAATTAAATTGAATTAAATTAGAACCTCTTATAAAAAAAAGTTTAGTTAATCATATTATAGATATTTTTTCCTCTCTTAAAAACAGTTCAAATTCTTTAAAAATAGATCGTTTCAGTCATTTACTTTATTGATATGATTTAATTCTTTAAAAAATTATACTATAGATAAATTTTTTTTTTCTCTTAAAAATGATTTTTTTTAAATAGATCAGTTTAGGCATTTACTTTATATTCATAGGATTTAATTTTTAAAAAATTAAACTAAACTGTTTTATAAAAAATGGTTGGATTTGATAAACCAAATCAATTTTACAAAAAAAATAATGGTTTAACTTTTTCTCTCTAAACAAATCAGTATTTTAATCCGGTTTTGGCATAATTGGGTTCAGCTCTTTTCGTACCCTTAATTTTTTTTTGGTTAGAAGTACAAGTAGCAGGGTTTTGTGAGCTGTGTGTTGATTGTTGGGCCTAACAAACGAGCGGAAAGTGCAAGAAATTAAGTTGCGGCTGTGTGAGTGTAAAACCCTTTCTCTCTTTCTAACCAAAACCCTAACACCCTTCCCTACCTTGGAAAATGAAGGGGAAGAAGAAGACCATGACGCAAAACGACGACGAGGGAGCTCCCTCTCCATCTGAGAAGCTACCTTCACCAGTAGTATCCGATTACGATTCCGAATCCGACTCTGATTACGAGGTACTCTATCTTCAAGAGATTGTAAATTCACATCAGTTTCTGTCACTGTAACTATATTAATGCTATACTCGCACTCGCGCATTCTTGTTGTAGGACTCTTCTGCAGGTAACGACGAATCTTCTGACTCGCTGGATTCTCTATCTGAATCAGATTTAGATGATGCTTCACCTGAGAATGATAGCGCTGGCAATTCTGAACCTGCAGAAAATGAATTATCTCAAGATGAGGTACATTGTTTTTGTTCGCAATAACCTTGTATGCTAACTAGGAAGAGTGTGTTGTCGTTGTTGTTGTTTTCTTTGTTCATCCATAACTAATATGCTTAGGTGCAATGATTGCAGGACATTGTCAATGACGAAGACAGTGAAAGTGAGAGTTCCGATCTCCATCAGGAAGGAGCTGAGAGTGACTCCTCTGAGGATGAGGTTATCATCGCCTCATCGGCTTCATGTTCTAATATAATACGATTCTGGTTCATTTTATGAAGCTGAGTTTTGCTTACATTGTTTGTGCTATCATAGGTGGCTCCTCGAAACACCATTGGAGATGTGCCTTTGAAGTGGTATGAGGATGAACCTCATATTGGATACGACATCAAGGGCAAGAAGATTAAGAAAAAAGAAAAGCAAGACAAGTTGGATTCATTTCTAGCAAATGTTGACGATTCTAAGAATTGGTTAGTTTTATGTTTCTACATTAACTTTATTCTCTTCATTTCAGTATTCATTGTTGCATTCTTTTCTTCTCATAATGTTTGTAAACACCTACTCATAACTTTCCATCCATCTACTCGGTACAGAAACAGCATGTATATAGTGTTTTTCTTTGAATACCTAGATTTAGATTTGGTATGTTTTCTTTAATGTTAAAGCCTAACATTTGAATTAGCATGCTGTTTTTTTAATCTGAGACATAAACAGATTTACAATAGATAAAAAAAGGTCAACCGGATAAATTTTGATATAATAATGACGAGCTCTCTTCGGAAGCTGGGAAAAATAGGCGATTATGTCTTCAAAATAAGATCAGTCAAATGCACACTAAATATGCTTACTGAAGATCAATAGTGGAAAAGTAGGTAGATAGAATTGTGCCTAAGATGGTTTAAACATGTGAGGGGAAGTTCTCCTGAATAATAAACCTAAAGTACTTATCTAGGATGCAGTGTTCCACCGACTCAAGTTTAGATACTTTTTCGAATAGAATTTGTTATTATTTTTATTATTATTCAAATGCCAAAACTGTGATCAAGGTTTACAATGACATTTTATATGTAGACCAACGGAATCTAATAAATCTGAAAAGATAAAATCCAAACTAACTAAATGTGATAGAAGCTAATGCTAATATAATAAACAAATTCTTAATTAGGATGAAATTCCTAAATAGAAATTCAAATTTCTAAAAATTAATAAACTAGTCAACAGCCCAAATATACTACATCACTAATAGAGACTCCAGTTTGAAGAGTTGATCACATGGAGGATAGTTCAATAACTGGAGAGGTAGAGGTATATATTGATAACAACTCTAGGTAAAACTATTTAAAAGGATCAACTAACAAATGGCCTGAATAATTGATTTTGGACAGAGCATAAAGTTGACCTTTGTTTTTTTTGTAGCCAACTCCACCGGGTGAGATAAACTTTGATTGTTGTAAAGAGTTAAATCCAACAATAGTTCTCATAGAAATATCTGGGCAAAAAGTTTAAGAATCAGAAAATTTGTGATTAATTTTCTAAATTTCTCATTTCTCTTTAATTGGACACTTGATGCTGAATTTTTACATTCTTAAAACATTTAAGGAGGAAGATCTATGATGAGTATAATGATGAGACAATTGAGCTGACAAAAGATGAAATCAAACTTGTCCGAAGACTACTCAAGAATCGGGCACCACATCCTGACTTCGATCCATATCAGGTGTGCATTTTCTTTTCATCTTTTTTTTATTTATTTATATATATATATATATATATTATTTAGGCCACTGATGTCAAGTACGATTTTTAATACGATTTGTTTGCACAGTTTTGTTCCTTAATTTTTTCTCTCCTTTCTAATATCCAGGATTATGTTGACTGGTTTAAATGGGATGATGCCAAGCATCCATTGTCTAATGCACCTGAACCAAAAAGAAGGTTTATTCCTTCAAAGTGGGAAGCTAAAAAGGTAACATTCCTTTGTTTACTAATGTCGAGATGATTTGGGTTCAGGCTAGAACAAAGCAAATTGTTTTTCCTTGTCATTCATACACTTCCTTGATTCTGCAGGTTGTGAAGTATGTTAGAGCAATTCGCAATGGATATAACCCTTTTGACAAGCCAAAAGAGGAAGATGGTCCATATCTCTTGTGGGGAGATGATTCTGGTTCAACAGAAAAAGCAAATTATTTGTCTTACATTCCTGCCCCAAAGCAGAAATTACCTGGTACTACATGTGTCAAATTTTGGAGTTCCAAAGTCTACCAATAGATGATGTTTGTTTTACCTTTGACTTTAATGTATTTTCATTGTTGATAATTTAATTTTGCTTCTTAGGCCATGATGAGTCATATAATCCTCCTTTAGAGTACATTCCAACCCAAGAAGAGATCAATGCTTATCAATTGATGTTTGAGGAAGACCGCCCTAAGTTTATTCCAAAAAGGTACTGTCTTTTCAAGGCAAACATTTTTGCCCCCCTCCCTTTGTGTACAGTTGAACTATAATAAATATCACTTTGTCAGGTTTACATCTATGAGGAGCATCCCTGCATATGAGAATGCTATGAAGGACTGCTTTGAACGTTGTTTGGATTTGTACTTGTGCCCTCGAGTTCGGAAGAAACGTGTGAGTGAAATATCTATTTTGACGAACTAACTTACTGATTTTATTTTTGTTTCATGTCTTAATTTGGTGGTGAGTTATACATAATACAATATATTACTATTGGTATAATTGATTTACTTTTTCCTTTCTCTGTGTTTTAGCTCAATATTGATCCTGAATCTTTAAAACCAAAGCTTCCAAGTCGAAAGGAGCTCAAGCCTTATCCCATAACATGTTATATTGAGTATAAAGGCCATGAAGACGCTGTTACATCAATTTCAGTTGAAGCTTCTGGGCAATGGATGGCTTCAGGTATGAATGTTGATAACATATATTTCAGTCTCAATTAAGGTGGGATGGAGATGTGCCTCTCATTTTCTGTTATCTGCAAAGGTTCAAGTGATGGAACTGTCCGTATCTGGGAGGTTGAAACTGGCCGATGTCTTAAGCGATGGGAAGTTGGTGAAGCTGTTAACTGTGTTGCCTGGAATCCTCTGCCTGATATTCATATTCTGGCCGTTTGTGTGTAAGTTTGGTTTCATTGGCTATGAAGGTTCATATGTTTTTTATTCTATAAAATTCTTAATGTTTTCTTATTGTATATGGCTTGATTGTGAAAAGAAATCTATTATGAATCTTTTAGGGGACAAGATGTTCTTCTACTGAACACTTGTTTGGGGGATGAAGAAGAGCAGAAATGTATTAAGGAGCTTCTCTGGGTTGACTCGACAATAGCATCAGATGACTCTGGTTAGTGTTGTTGTCACTTCTTTGATTTTGATCTAAATATTCAAAAGATGGATGCAAGAGATTCCGAGTCTCAAATTGTCATATGAACCCTAACCAAGGTTATCGATAGCGGATAACGGTCTATGGCGGTGAGGCCAGAAATCCTTTATAACTCTATGGTGGATGTCATGGCGGCCTATGGCGGACGTCATGGCGGACAAAAAAATAAAAATAAAAAATATTTATATATATATTATATACAAAAAAAACAGCAAAACAATGAATAACAAGTAACAAAACTAAATTAAAACCAACATAATATCAACTTAAATACTTAAATATCATAACAACAATACCATAATTCATTGTCTCATAACATAATTGATTAAAACACAACAAAAAATATAGAAAAACAAGAGACTCAATTTAGAATTTAGAATAAAATAAAAATTTAAATTAACCCAATTGGTAGAAGAATTAGGATTAAAAAATTGTTGCTGCAGATGCAACAATGAATTCATTAACAAAAGACTCAAAGGAGTAGGAAAAATTAAAAAGAGGATTAAAATTTAAAACTGAAAAAAAAAAGTTTTAAACTGAAAAAATAAAAAGAGGAGGATTAAAACTGAAAAAATAAAAGTAGGAACATTAAAATTGGAAAGAAAAAAAGTAGGATTAAAACTGAAAAAAAAAAACTAGTTTCGCCGGAGTTGCTCGCCGGAGTATCTCGCCGGAGTACTGGGCCACCACGGTTCAGGTCGCCGGCCAGAAAGGGGACGAAGGGGTGGTGAACGGAGGTGATTAGGGGCAGTTTTGACTTCCGTAAGTGCTGTTCGCACTTCGTGGTTGCTGGTCGGAGTGTTGGACTGCCGCAGTTGCCGCGTTTCAGGTGGCCGGAGTACTGCGTAAGTGCCGTAAGTGCCGCGTTTCAGGGAACAAGGTCACCGGAGATGCTTAGGGCATGAGCTCCTATTGAGGTGCAAAGAGTCGCGACTGTGAGGGGGAAGAGAGATGAGACGCAGAGACAAGCACTAACCTAGGGCTCACTCCATTTGGGCCTGTTTCAAAGCCCAAAAATAGGTTTTTTTTTATAAAAAAAACCGTCATGACTGCCATGCCCGTTATAAACCTTCACGGTGCCATGACCATGGCGG